TTTTTTTTACTAGGGCATACATAAGACTTCCAGAAAATATTGTAGAATAATTAAAGCAGCTACACTTAGTACACTTTTTTTTTTTTAAAGAAATGCTATAAAAGCCAATCTATCAATGCCCATCACACTCAGTCACTTTTTGCATAATGGTTAAATAATTATGTGTAATAAATCAAGTTTTTCCAACAAATTTTTCCAACAAAAATAAAAAACATGTATACTCTGTGTCTAAAACTGCAAATACTGAATTACTCTGTTAGCAGAGCTTTAAAACTATGTACCTGAATATATTTCATGTGACTATATTAATTATTTGTATATATAATATCAAAACGTTGCTATATTACTTATAAACTCTTACAACCAGGTGGTCACTAACCACCAGGTGGTGCAAGATGTAAAAACATCATATAGCCTAGCTCAGAAAAGCTCATGCAGGTTTACCTTCATGCAGAGTTCAGTTCCAGTTCTGCTGTAACACACCTGTCTGTATTTTTTAATGTACCCCATAACCTTGATAATCTGGTTCAGGTGTGTTTGATCAGGGTTGGATGCAAACTCTACAGATCAGCAGATCTTTAGAAGCAGGACTGAGCACCCCTGGCCTCACTATAAGATATCAGCATTGTAATATTCTGAGTTTTTTTTATTAGAAAACAGCAATACAGCAATTACATTACAGTAAGCACACAGACAAACATCAGTTTGTTGTTAAATAATATATGAATATAATAACAGAAAGGGTCATTGTCTTTACTTTTGTGAAAAATATTTCATTTACATCTCTGTTCAGTCAAATGAAATAGGCCTATTTACATATACCCCATGTCAATGGGAAGTATGCCATTTTGCTCCAGTCATCCAGTAACTACAATTTTTATACCTTTTACTATTTTTTTTTAATAGAAACTCTTAACCAGTGTTAACCAATTCAAAGATCCCTTGCCATCCTAACACAAATCTATGCAACCCACACCACCAAATTTACGCTACACACACCCAGTGTGAATGCCCTTGTGGTGGAGAGCAACCACCAGTATTTTAAACAGCGGTCTGGCCAAAGGCTAAACTCCAAAAAGCTCCATCCATCCTACACTGGGTGCATTCCAGGGTTGCTATAAAGGGAAGAGAGGCTTTCCTAGTGAGGCTTCCTGGAGTGAAAAACACTAATGTGTAGGTATGCGTCTTTAAACCTTAAATGGAAGCATATGTGGGAGCGGAATGAAAGTTTACATAGGGCTGTAATCAGAGCGGGACTCTTTCTTTTATTCCTCCGCTTGATTTACGTCTATTTTTCTCTGCAAATGAAGAGGTTGTGCTCATGCACGTGCAGACCGCACAGCTGAGAGTGATTAGTGTTAGCTGTAGTGCTAGTATTATCAGATTGGTACAAACTGCAGGGCTAACTGCACACAAGCCAAAGAGAGAAAGAGAAAGAAGAAGAAGAGAAAGATGGCTGAAAATAGCAAAAACGGTTCATTCTTCTCTCTAATAGTCTTTTCGCAGGCACAATGCAAATGATTCAAATGAGATTCGTGAGATACTATACAGGCACATGCTTAGGTTACTGGATGAGTTTGTGTTCAGCTGCTCAGTATAAACACATTCACACTCGTGAATACACTTATGAACTCCGTATGAGTCACGGAGTGTCATCTCCACCCTAACACTCTAAACGGTGCCATGAACTTTCTCACTCTAATTTCTAAGTTCATCGTTCTCGCTATCAGAGAAATAATTACAGTATGCAGGGGGGAGGCAGGCTTGTGCTTGATAACTTGTTTAGAAAAAAACTTTAGATTCAGAATTAGCATTTTTATGCTATTTTATGCAGATTTATTAGCAATGAATGCTAAAATTCAGAAGCACAGGCAAAAAAAAAAACAAGGCATACATTTTGCATAAATCTTATATTATATGATTATTCTTTGTATTTTTTTTCTCTCCAGATTTTCGGACATTCAGGATTTTAGAAATTATACACCTACACAAAAGTTGAACACAAACCTCCACATGCACAAACACTTTTTTATTTAGAAATGCATTGCATTTATAAATTAAATAAACTTTATTTATAAAGAAATTATTATTAAACATTATAATTATTCATATCTATCTTTCTATCTACAGTATCTATATCTTATAAATTATTTAATGTTACCATTAATATAATACATTATTAAGTATATAATTTTATTTATTTATTTTTTGTTAAAGTTACGTATAAGGTGTATTTGTGCCTGTGGAGGTTTGTGTTTAACTATTTTAACAGTGATCCTTTGAAGTATTTTCCTGTGGAGAATGTGGGCAGTCCACTATTATTGCTGCCTTTTCATGGCGACGATACAAAGGAAGCAGGTAACACAAAACCAACTGTCAAAACCACAAGAATACATTCATGCTCATTTCCTCTAGTTAAAAGGAAAAAATGGCTATATAACGCTCTGCTATACTCTCTGTATGCTCACATTATTGGGATCTATTATTATATATTTTACAGTGTGTCTGCTTTGAAATATGGTATTTGATTATCTGTTGTTATTAAATATATTTCATTATTATTTAGTAATAGTATGTGGGAATCTGGAGTTGATACTATCATTGATTTTCTTACACTTTAATTTTTTTTATAATATTATATTTTGTTTAACTAGTCTTTTTTGAAAGACTGAAAAAGACAAGAATAAACAACAGTTTTTTTTGAGTGTTGAATGATTTATAATGTGAAGGAAATTAAAGTACTCTTTAGAGGCGTTTACAACTAATTCCTGACAGAGAGGCTACAAAAGAAAGTAGATAAGAGAGAGCAAAATAAATGGTGCATGAAAGAGCACAGAGAGGACCTTGTAAGTAAGAGAGAGAGAAAGAAGGACATTGTAATTAAAGAAGAGAGTTCACTACAGAAGGAAAAAAGGGAAGCAAATAAGCAAAATAGAACAGCTGTTACAGACTAGCACTAGAACTCTATAATGGACAGCAATGTTTCGTAAACAGCCTTTGACAATTTCACAGCATTTCACCAGACCTTCTATGTAAATAGACGTACAATACTGTGCATGTGTGTTTGTGTGTGGCCTTCAAAACAACTCAATGATCAAGTTATCCTCTGCCACTTGAGAAAACTGTCTTCATGATAAAATATTACGGAGGAATGAAATGAAAGCTGTGGGCCTCACGCCTACACATCGTTAGAGGCTGATGTATTCTCTTCCTCATCAATGCCCTTGTCTGAGCACAATAAGTCTGTCCACAGGAGTAATTTGTTGCTTGTTTGGGAAGTATGTAATTTGTGGTTTATATGGGAAAGGATTTGTGGAACTTTTGTTGAAATAATGTACAGTCCATGGAGCCCATCAAAGATATTAAGCCATTTTTGGTCACACAGACTTCATGTTTCTGTATAATTACCGGTGAGTGCTTCAAATAATCACAGCTGTGGTGATATTCAGACCAACAGCACTCTTGCTTGTTTGATACTGCTTTTATGCAGTAATGGTTCAAGTTAATAATGAGATAATTTTAGTGGCTGCGTCTGAAATCACATACCCTCTGAGTAATTACTTTTGAATAAGTACTTTGTAACTGTTAAAAAAGTGTGTTCTATATAGTATGAATGTGATTAGTATGAATGTAATCTGGATGTACTACATTCGTCATGTCAGTCATATAACCTCTCGGCATCAACTTATACAAATCCCTTCTCATGGTGTATTTCAGAATGGACGTAGTAGGTCATCTGGGTACTACAATATAGTAGTGAAGTATGCATAGTCAGATGCAGCCAGTCACTTGTTTAGTTCATGAATGAATCAGTGTTGTTAAACAACTCAGTTCAGTAAATTATTCAATTACTTATTCAAAAGGCAGTCACTTGTTTTGTTCCTGAATGAATCAGTGACATGAAGTAATCTGTTTGGCTTGAATGATTCAATGATTTACTTGTAAAGTCATGTGCTTGTTGCCATCTACTGGTATAGTTAAGTAACCTGCAGAAAGGTTCTCTGAAAAATCTCCACCACTACAGAACAGATTGACAGTCTTCCATTAGGTTACTGTACATACAGGGCCTCTCATTTCAAAACTACCTAAGATTCAGTAGAAATATGCTTACATAATGTACTGTGCATAAAGTATTGTCTCAGCATAACACTGCAGTCTACACCATGATGGTCCCAACATAGGCGATAGGCCAAAATGGGGTGTGACCTCTATCTTGCTCCCTCTCTTTCTATGTATTCTGACACACAGACACACTACAGCTCATGTACTAAACCACCTTTGTTTGTGTTGGTGTGTCTGACACTGATGCACTACCATTAGTGAGCATGAGCTTTAACACTGATATCATTATATCCTTACGCTTTCACTGTGAGAAATGGGACACTGAAAACACAATCTTCTTGCAAATACGAGAACAACGGGTCGATACTTGAGGTACGCATTTATAGGAAGGAACCATTGTCAATAATAACATATAGCTGTCTGAGTACACCTCCTGTTTTGCAGAAAACCTGGATCCCCTCTCAACTGTTCACAGGGAATCCCGATGGAAAAAATGAGTTATTGCTGTTGGAGGCTGATGTCTCAGTGCTTAATGGACTAGGACACACTTTAGATCCTCCTCTAAGACTATATATATAGTTTATTTTCTGTATTATCTGTATTGTGTATTTTCTATTTAATTCTATTTTCTGCTTATTTCAATACTTTCTGAGTGCTGAATATGCTCTGGCAATATATGCTGACAATCATGCCAATAAAGCTATGTTGACTCTGAGATCCCTAGCGACAGCCTTAAGACCCTTTAATATGCTGCTGGTCCATACCAAATCCCTCTGAAAGCTCGTCCAAACCCACACACTTGAGTAAAACATGTTTATCTAATATGCCATAAACACTGCTGCGATCATTTACAACCCAACCATCCGGTAAACGGATGATGCAGTGTTCTGAAAATGCCCACTCCCCACAAGAACCCCCTTCCCCTTATATCAACTCACCTCGTTATTTCGAAACTGCAGCCTTTCCTGAGTAACATCGCTCTCTTTCGCATGATCCCCGATTTCTCTCGCCCCAAGTACATGTTAATATCCGAATTCATGGTGGTGGGATAGTAGGGCACACGGGTCCCTACTGCAGGCGCAGAGACACAGAGGCAGCGCGAGCGCTGATAATGATGGTGATGCGGCTCTGCTCCGAGTCTGGCGAATGGAGAACCGGGAGGGCGCACAAAGAGAGAGTGGTATATAAGATCAACAGTGGGTCCTCCTCCACTGGAAAAGCAAAAAAGTGAACCACACGCTTTCTGCAGCCAGATAAGGTATGATTTAAGTGGACAAAATGTGCTTTGTGTTAAAGAAGGGATTCGTAAACCCCATTCACACCGGTTCCTTTGGATCAGAAGTGCAAAAAGTCGTCGGCTGGATAATCTCCGGGTCGATCCCCCGTTCCCCGTTGTTTAGGGCACGTATACTGGAGTAATATATCGCTCCAGCCGTTGAGTCTGCGCGGTCCTAATGTCTACCCAGAAGAATGGAAGAAAATACATGAATTTTTGTGGGGCGGTGACTCTCTTAAATGAACGAGCATTCATTTGCGCTGTCATTTTTCTGGTGGCGAACATTTTTTTCCGGCGAGAACAATATAGCCTAATTATTGATAAGACACTGTTTTTCTTTAATGAATTAATTTATTTATCTATAGCTATTGTGTCTTAGACTGCACTCTATTCTAAAGAATTTACCCAGGGAGCCAATCCTCAAGCCACCACACATAAGTTTATAACAGCAGGCAGACACTGATACCTACAGTAAGTGTGAAACAAATGTGTGTGTGTGTGTGTGTGTGTGAACATTACAATAATAACACACACATGCACAAGCACAAGCCATAAGGATTCACAAAAGACTAATAGCCAAATAGAGCAGATGTTCTCTAATGGATCAGAACCCAAAAATGGCTGGCATGTCTGTTCTGATTGGGTCACAGATTGCAGGGGGAAAAAGTGATGCTAAATGCAAATACTGTGCAATCATATAATATTTTATAGTTACAATAACACAGCAAAATAAATAAGATGAT